TTAATCTAAGTATCTAGGGCTTTAGGTTTTACTACCATACTACATGTAAACGGTTTCCAAACTGTAAAGTTAAAAAATGTTCTTACTGTAAACTTAAAGGTTAAATGAATTGACAGACTTTAGAATGAAAATTCTTACAGTGCACTAGCAAGCAATTAGAATGTAATTGAATTTTTTCATTGAATACTTAGTTAAATATTATTGCCTAACATAAAAAAGTACAATTCACATACTTGTTATAATTCCAAAAATTTTGAGTCTTGTACTGAAAAAAAGTGTCTTTCTTATGTCACACCCGCAACGAGTGGAAATTATTTTTGTAAAAAATAAAGGAAATTTCTAGCTGGTCTTGGTCTATAATATTTATAACTTGATGAGAACACAAAAATTTCGTTTTGACATCCACATGTCCTTTTCTCATGTCGTCCATTTGTCTCAATAAAGGTCATGTTTATAATTGATGAACCACATAAATATAGATCATTATGTTATTAGTATTATAAATATACCCTTATATTAATGTGGGTGCAATAAGAATGATAATAAATGAAAATATATTTGCCTTCGAAACTCAGATATTCTCGAATATCAACATACGCTTGTTCTCATTAAATTGCATGTTAAGAAATAGAAATATAAAAATAAAATAAAATATGGAACTTTTAACCTTAACTAAAGTTTTTAGAATTTCAGTAGGGGAGAGTGGGGTCAATTGTAACAGGGTACGATTGTAACAGAGCAAAAATTTCGAGTGTTGGGTTCTAGATTTAGTTCCTAGGTGGCGCACAAGGTGTATTTGATAAATCTACATGTACACCCCTGCTGGCAACCATTTTTATGTACTTTTGAAAGAGTTACATCACAAAAGATATTTTCAAGCTACGTAAGTACTTTTATTGGTATTAGAATATTATATTGTAACAAAGTAATTTTGTTTAAACATATAAAAATTATTAACCGAATATGTAAGTGGACACCTTAATTAACATTTCAAAAAAAAAAGATTAGTTTTGTTAATTAACTAGCATTGTTTTTAACAAATGAAGCTGAAATGGCGTCTTGGGGACAATTGTAACAATAAGTAAAGGGACGATTGTAACAGCTGAAAATAAATAATCTTATGTTTACAAACCATTACTTAACTCTTTAAGAACCACCAATAGTTTCCCATATCATTTATATTAAGCTGAATGCGCATTATTTTATTTGTCACCTTTCACAGCATAAATTAAAATTTTTAACTCCTTAAAGTTAAAAGTTTAACCCTTTAGGTCTCTGCTCGTTATTTTTTTTTACTCCTAAAATATCACTACTATTTTGATCAATAAAAAAATATATCACAACTATGATAATATGTATAATTAACTATGTTTTATTTGAATTTATGTACTGTTGCAATTGACCCCTTAAGTGGGGACAATTGTAACAAGTGCACGACTGTCAAAAACTGTTAATAACTAACATAATAACATTTAAAATAAGGTATTTATTATATTTTTTCTAGTAGAGGATAGTCTACTTTACTCGTCTGTCAATTAATACTAATAATATATTGGATTTTTTGTTAGTTAAGAATAGTTAAGTAAAAAATGTTACAATTGACCCCACTCTCCCCTACCTTTTTCAAAATATTTTTAAAAAATAATTTGTTTTTTTTTTTTGGAAAATTGTAGGTTTTAAACGTTTTGAAATTCGTGAAATCATTTTTAAAGAGCATAATATTAAATTAAATAATATTTGCATCAGTTCGCTCTGATCCATAGTATCCAGTAATAATACTTAAAATGGTTTAATTTGCACGATAATGAGGTTCAAATTGACACTCGATTAATCAGCAAATTTGAGACATATTATTAATTAAAAATATTTTTGCAGTGATTACACTAGATATTGTATATATGGAAATCAAGCATTTAGTAGTGAATTCATCAAAACAATTTTATCAGTGCTTTCTGAGATAAAAAGTTTCAGTGTTGTGCCACAATATCAGTACTTCAAGCCTTAATGTTGTGTGAGGTTACTACACTCTTAATAAAGTGTAAATTTAACCACTTTTTCTTTAAAGCTTAGCATATACCATGATAACAAGTTTAAAATATTTTAGTTTGCAAGATGACATGGTTCAGCTTAGGTCTTATGGCTGCACCAATTTTATATGGCATGACGGTTAAACGAGTTTGAAAATTTCTGATAAAGTAGTACAAGGCGGATGATAAATATTTGGGAGGAAAGCTCAGTAATAAATCAGATAATCTTTTTATCAGCTCACTCTGAGATCAGTCGAATACTGTACCATAAAGGCCGGGCTAGCCTGGTCGGTAGGACGTTGAGTCCATGTCCAAGAGTTCGTAGGTTCGATCCCTGTCGATCGAAGACTCCCTGCGTAGTAAATGGTGACTGGGTGCACGTTAAACCAGTCGAGACGCCAAGTCCTCCATGTTCCCATAACAAATCAATACCTCTGGGAGTACTGATGCAGGAGTCTCATTGTCTTTTGGATTGGTTCAAAATCACAAGGCTACGAAATTGAACATAACATTATAAGCCTGAAACATTGGGTCGGCTGTTCGAAGGCAGTTATATAATAATTCCCATACTATTGGAATTTTAAACTTTACTTTTGTACGCTGCAAACTTGGTAAAGTGTAAAATTTAAGCGTGTTCTCCTTAAAGTTGACCTCAGTACCACGTAATCAAGTTTAAAATTGCTTGATTTGAACGATAACATGGTTCAAGTTAGTACTATCTTAAATTTTCACCAAACTTATAGGATATGATGGTTAAACGAGTTTAAAAAGTTCTAATAATGTAGTTGATGGCTGGATTTGGAAATCTCGTTTATAGAGCAGAGTAATATATTCGATAATTTTTTTATTAGCACACTCTGAGATCAGTCAAATATTGAACCATAATATTGGCTCTTTCAACCTTATTTTTGTGTGCTGCTACTTTGTTAGAGTGTAAATTTTAACAGTGTTCTTTTCAAAGTTGGCTTTAGTACCATGTAACCAAGTTTGAAAAGATTTGAACGATAATATTGTTCAGCTTGATGTCTTAAAGTCTTAAAGTTACTAAAAATTCGTTTGATATAACGGTTGAATGAACTTGAGAAATTTTTGAAGCGTATAGTGCGCCAAAAAAGGACCTCCCTGAATAACTTTTAATCTAACGATCTGATTTTTACGTTCTAGTACTCAATCTTAATGGTTTGAGAGGGTGACATCAAATATGCTAATTAATTGATGCAGATGATATTTTAAGTTACGAACTAAGTAAAAAAGACAGATTTTTTTTACGGATTCGGATTTTTGACCCTCTAAAAACATGGGGTAGCTGCAATTTGCAAAATGTGGCCCCCATGAATTGGTCAGAAGAGCGATCTAAAGTTTGGACCAACTAATGTTAATTTAATTTTTCGCGTATTTCGCTACATCTCGAAAACTTTTCAAGCAAAACGAAAAATCTTTACACACAATTAGAAAATTCGTTTATATAAAGATAAATCCATGCAAGAAATAAATTTTAGTAAACATTTATCATTATTTTATTATGTATTATTATTTTATTAATTTTTATTATTTTATTTAGTAATAGTAGAAAAATTTTGAATTGTAAGGTATACAATTTTTTTGATTATTTTTAAGTATCCAATTTTACATGGCAAAATACAAAATTTTGCTATATAATCAGCTAAATAGTTCCTCAAAAATAGAATTTTAACCATACAACTTTTTTAAAATCCGATATCTCAGGAATTACTAATAAGCCAATATAACCGATTTTGCTCAAATTTTTTTATTTTGCCATGTAAAATTAGATACTTTAAAATGATGTAAGAAAAATTTTATACCAAGCAATTCAAAATTTTTCTTCTCTTACTAAATAAGGTGACAAAAAAGAATAAATATTTACTAAAATTTATTTTTTACATGGTTTACCCTTGAATAAGCGAATTTTAGAATTGCGAGCGAAGATTCTTTATTTCACTTTAAAATGTTCAAGATATACCTTTAACACGCAAAAATAACTAATACGCAAAATATAAATTCGCAATTTAACACACAAAAAAGGAAATTAAAATTAGAGTGTCCAAAATTTTGATCGCTCTCCTGTCCAAGCTATGGGGACCATATGTCCAAGATAGCTGTTTTTGGGGGGTCAGATATTTTAGGGTCAGATACTTTATTGTTTTTACGCTGCTGAAATCGGTTTGAAGTTGTTTACGTTCGTGTATCAATTGGCTAACATTGTGATGCAATACGTTAAAAATGAATACAAATGTGAAGCATATAAAAAATCTACTGAATGAAAACCCATGACATGTATGTTTAAATATAAAAGTGTTGCATATAAACTTGTGCAAAAGATGTAATTAATGAAAAGCTACATAGGCTCTAATAATTTGGCCAGAGATTATATATATATATTTATTTGTCACCTTTCACAGCATAAATTNTATATATATATTACTCTTGAATCAAAAACGATGTCTTTAAACTATATATATCAACTAACTGTGTAGAAATATCTGGGCTTTAGAGCGGACAAATAACTGAAATATTTCAAAAGTTAATAAACTCTTACAAAAATTTTGAAATCGCCAGTTTGGCGACATTTTTCTACCTAGAAGGAAATTATCAAAATAACTGCCTTACCAGTTTTTATAAGTTTTTATGAGCCCAGATAATGCTGCATAATAGTGAGTTTTAAATATTAAAAAGCTAGATCACAAACGCTTTTCATTTCCAAGAAACTGTGCCTTTCTTCATTTTGACGTTTTGCACCATTTTCAGAATAAGCATAGATAGCGCTTGTTTTAGATAAGCAAAATTTGTCCTAACAGTCATGAGTAACTGTTCAAACTCAAAGTAGTTCAACTGTTCAAACATCATTTCATAAGACGACGAAGCCATCAAAAAACAACCTTAATGAAAAGAAGCAATAATTAATCAATCGATCTAGTCTGATATTTTTCTTAGAGAAATGGAAACAAAGTACAATTTCCTTCAAAATCATTTTTAGTTTTTATTTAAGAGGAACTATTGTCCTTTCTGAACATTGGTCAGGATCATTACGTGGGCAACAATCTGGGAACTCACCGGGTCCTTTCTTTGTAAAGCCGCAAGTAATTGATCCAACACAGCTGAAAAAGGAAAAAATATATATTTTCAAGTAATAGCATAATGTAACTTACTTTATGATATTTTTCTAAAAAAAAATTTTCTTACATAAAAAAAGGCGAACATATGGAAAGCGTGCCACAAAGTGGCACACGATAGATGCGCAAAAGGTGTACCAGAAATATATATTAAATTGTGTATAATATGAGAAAAAAAACATTACTACTCTCACTTCGAAAATTTTACTAGAAATGACATTTACTTTTAGTTAAATTAATAAACTGACTTTTAAATATGCTTACTAAATGCATAGACTTAGATAATACAACAAAATGAATTATTTCAGAACGAACTAGACTAATACAATTCCAACCTGGAGGGCAGCTGACTTATAACAATACACTTCGTGTAATGTTTATTCGTTGCTAGAAGTCAGGTTCGAAGGAAATGCCGTTTACTGTGACGTTTTATCAGTTTAATACAAGAGATACTTTTTTTGGAAGGTTAGCAAAATATATATTCATAATAGCTGTTCTATTTTTCCACCAGACTGTTGCCATCCAACATACGAGTATAAGAAATAATTTATAATCATCTTGTTTAAAAGATTTTTTATCGATTAAGAATAATACTACAACTGGTTAAATTTAGTAGGAATAACAGAACCTGTGGCTTAGGCTACAGTATACACAATTACTTTTATTCGCTAAAATTTTTTGAAGGCATTATTTCGCCAGATATCTCTGGTCCCACAGTTAAAGAATAAACTGCTCGGTGTGTATTGAGATGAATTTATTGTCAAAATGTGAGAATAGAGAGATCGAAACAACGAAATATATATTTCGTAGAATCTCTCTGGGCCCATATTTCAAGAATAAACTCATCAAATCTCAATGCATAATGAACTTAAAGCGAACAAAAATTGTAAAAGAAATATCGTTTTCAAATTATTAAACAGCAACGGTAACTATAGCAACGCATGCGAATTTCGACTCGGGAGCCCGGTTTGGTCCTGAATAGACAGCTAAAAAAACGACATATCCAGCAATAGCGTACTATAATAGGGGAATTCAGAAAAAAGTACGATTTTCTGTGCCATTATGACATTTTCCAGATTTTAAAATTGACTATGGTATCCTTTTCACTAATTTCAGTTTATTTTTTTTCACAAAGGGTACCTGTTTTATGATATTTTATCTGAAATTGGCAATAAACTGAAACGCATCTTAAAATAATGTGTATTCGATTTCGATTAGAAGAAAGCTAACCAAAAAGCAAAAATATAATTCCATAGTTTAAAATTAAAGAGCTAGGATTTAATTGTTTTTTAAAAGAAGAACTACTAAGCACTATCACGGTCACACTAAGAAATAAAGAAATTAACGAACCTTTGACGCAAATGGAACACCGGTATCTCTTTTAAGCATTTTTTCTGGTGCTCAAATTAGAAACGAAAATAGATTTTGGTATTTTTTTATTATAAAAAACCGTCAAATAGTTAGAAAAAAAATCTGCTAAATTATTGCAATTAGATATGTACTAAAGTATAAAATCCTAGAAAAAACTCGAAGAAAATTTTTTTTATTCATTTTCAAAAGCGTATTAATAATTAATTTTGTGAATTACAGAAATTTCAATTATAATTTTTTTTTTCTTTCAGATATAAATAACTACAAATAAGTGCAAATTTCAAAAATTTTTGTTTGGAAGTGAGCTGTGTTTAGAAGATTTCACCTTTAAAGCAGAAAAATACACTGGTTTCATAACCATAAATTACTAAAAGGTTAAATATGATATCTTTCACTTATTTTGACTTTAATTAATACAAAATATTTGAAAAAGTGCGAAAAATTTGTTGAATAAAAATTCTGCATCAAAGGGTTAACTGGCGCTTTAATCGAAAAAAGTTATCTACCTCTGGTTTATTTTCGGTTCAAATTATTTTGATTGCAATAAAATAGAAATAGGTTTTTTCGCATATTACTAATGCATATTACAAGTATTATATACTCACTGATTTATATGTATTGCACCATCTTTAGTATATTTGTTCGGAGGGTGGCAGAAAGCTTGCCTGCATTCATTGGGGTTGTTGGCATACCCACCTGCTTCGATCTTGCCGAACTCTTCGGTTATGCAGTGACCTGAATGTTAAACAAATCTTCTGTAAGCGAGTTCTTCCCGAGAATGCAACTTATCAAATTATACTGTTACAATATTGTAAATGATTGTATAACTTTGAAAATATTCCTTTTTATATTCGCTAAATATCTCAAACGGACATTAAATCATTAGGTTAATCAGAAAAATTGCTTAAAAATTGCCTAATTCTAACGTAATTTAGGGGGGAAATAACACCTCATGATGTTTAAATAACCTCATGAAACTGCAGCATAAGAGATAATACTTGAATGATTGGTTAAACAAATATGCAGGAGGAGAAGGAAGGCTGCATGTTTCAAGCTCTCAAAAATAGGTACACATTCTCAAGACTTTCCAGGCGTGAATGAGAAAAAAGCAAAAATGATTTAAAATATAATATGTAAAATTACCAACAATATAGTGGAAAAACAGAAGTGAGAAACGAAACTAAGAAAACTGTAGTAGCCGAGATTGAAGCAAAAATTAGATGAAAAACATAACAGGGAAAACCATTCTGAGCGAAAGGCCCGAATCAGGTTAAAATGCTTTCAGAATATTCACAAAATGACTTCATATTTAAAAGTATCAAAAAATTTCCAAAAAAAAAACAAGAAATTAAAACAAAATTTCCAAAAATAAGCAGAAGTTAAAAAAGATGTTCCAAAACCTAATAAAAAATGCTCTACAAAATTAATTTTAAAAAGTGCTTTAAAAATTCAAAAAAAAAGTTCAGTAATGCGAAAAGAGTTATCAAAATCTCAACCGCAGTGATTAGTATTCATTTGTTCAAAATTGATAAATATATATACATTAATATTACTGAGATAGCATACATACCATCTTCAAACTTGACCTGTTTACGAATCGTCCATGCTCGCTCATTAGCACTATATACCGAACAAATTAATCCAAGAAAGAACAGAATCATCCATTTAAGAAACATTTCTGAAACCATACACAATAATTAGTGATTTAGAATTTTCAAACATTAATTGCAGTACTAATTTATAATTAATTCATAATTAATTTATAATTAATTTATAATTAATTTATAATTAATTTATAATTAATTTATAGTTAATTTATAATTAATTTATAATTAATGAATTCACTTCGAGAATTAGTGAATCAGAGCTTTTCGAAAAAATAAGTCGAACAAACAAAGAAGCCGAAAAGTACTATACCATATGGCGCTTTAAAATTTCAGGGAACAATTCATAGACAAAATTAATGTAATACAATTCGAAATGAGCATATAGAAGTATACTTAACTATTACACATTTATCTGTTTATAGATATTAAAAAAATTCTTATTCTTCGCGAAATTTACGCAAAGTAATTTTTCAGCTACATCCGCATCAGCTCTTGCAAGTTAAAATAAATTTAAAAGTAAATTTTTAAAATTCTAAACCAGATCATTAAATGGATATAAGTTTTTGATGGTAAAACCTTAAAAACTTTAAAATTTGTTTTCTTCATAGAACACTATTTCTCATTCAAATGAAGCAAATCTTTTCGTTTTGCACCTTTTTCAAAAGTATTCTGCTACAAAATAATACTCATTATATTTCTTATTTTATTACACTCGTTGAACAGTTCGAGAACTCCGTAGCCTTGTAATTTTGAACTCAATCCAGAACACAAGGAAAATCGAGGGAGAATTTATTTCGAATAGCCATCGGTGGGATTCGAACCTGGTTCACCTCATTGGAAAACGAAAACTCTATCCCTTGAGCAACCACGGCTCATGCTCATTATATTATGATATTTAAAAAAACAAAATTAATAAAAAATACAAAGGCCAAATTTTTCATCCGAAATCCAAATTGGCGAATGAAAAAAGCCTCTTAAAGCGCAAGAACAAATTATATTGGACAAATACTGTCTAAAGAAATTTTTTTTCTCTCATTAAGGAGAGTTTTACATTAAAAACTAATTTAATTTTAAGAAACTAAAGACAAAATCAACACTTTTACCTATTTTCGATGAAGTTTACAAACAGAGTTTTCCCTGAGAATAAAAAGATTATCTTCCAAATGCCACGAGTGCAAATAAGTTTTATCTTTTTCCCTATTTCTGTAGGATTTATATCTTCAACTAAAGCGTTGTAAAAATGTTCATAAAAAGTAATAGTGGTTTGTGCAAATAAGACGAACTAATATGAGGCCTCTTAGATCTAATATTTTTATCAAACAATTAAGTACTGTAATAAATAGCATAACACAGAGTGTAGACATGATTGAAATATTTCAAATAAAAAGATAATTAAAATTTCTTTAATTATATTTTAATCAGAACACTTTATTTCATACCATAATATCTTGATCTCCAACTTTCATAAGGTGCAGAATTGAATCAAGTTTTCGGTAAAGTTCAAATATATAGTGTAATCAATTTAAAATTCTTAACAAAGAAATATCAGTTCACTATTAAAATTTTCATTTGAAACCGTTTGCAGCTAATTTATAAACCTCCACCGTACAACCATTTACGACTAGCGTAGGTAGTTCCAAAACTATGAAAAAGAAATTTAATTAGACATAGGAGATAGTTAAGCAGCTTCATAGTGCTGCCATCTTTTAGTGAATGAGAGTATCGAATTCTAAAAGTTCAGAATCAGAAATTGAAGAATACAGGACACTCTTCATGTGTTGAAGGAAAATAATATGGTGTCAGAGCTGAACTCTCGAACCTCCGTTCCGTCGGTCATAAGATGGACTGATTAGCCCTTTTCGCTATAATATGTACCCGTTTGCAAGAAACTAAGTGGCTTCAATAGGTAGGAAGAATATGTACGATAAAACTCTCGTTGTTTAACTGCATTAGGAGAAAGTTGTTATCGGTTATTGCAATTACATAAATTTTCAGGCTTGTGTGCTCAAAATAGGCTTATGAGAATCCCAGTGATGGCTGGTTTATTTGAATTCCACACCTGCTCGCTCGGATCAGAGTGCTGATAGAAAATATCCCTCGTGGCAGACGGATTATGGGTCAGAGTTCTCTAGCTGTCAGGCTTACCGCGGGAGATTTCCGTGGTTTTTATCTCCGTATGACCTCAAATCTGGGTTAGTTCCATCGAAAAGACAACCACGAAAGCAAATTTCTCCCAATACTTGATCCAGGAGTTTCCTTGTCTTCTGGATTGGGTTCAAAATTACAATGCTACAGAGGATAAAATTAGTGGAATATTAACTGTTTTTCTCACTGTTAACTGTTTGAATATCATCTTATTTATGGTTATTTGACTGGGGTTTTTTTTAAATGGAAGTCATGATTACTATTAACCATGATATGATAAATATTTTTTCCGAAAAATTTCTCACAACGTAATAAAGCTTGGAAATGCGTGAATTTGCACGAAAATATGGCTTAACTTAGCTTATTAAGCTTACAGCAAATATGTATGAGCCCAGCTCAGCTTTGTACAATTTAAGATCATATAATTTCAGGAAAAAAAAAGAATTAAAAGAAAAAAATAGTGAATATTAAAGTTATCGATCCTTAAGAATATGAAAATATTAATCAATAAAAAAGTCGCGTTTAAGATCAGAACTCAGTATTTCGACATTGAAAGTTGCGGTCACATTAGAGTTGCAGTCACCAAGATAGTGGCAAGTCGCTACTTTATCAAAGTATCCAGAGCTTAAAGTTTTATAACCATACATGTAAACGGTTTCAAAACTGTAAAGGTAAAAAATGATCACTACTGTAAACTTAAAGGTCAATTAATTCGACAGACTTTAGAATGAAAATTCTTAAAGTGCACTATCAAACAATTATTTAAACATTATTGCCCAACATAAAAAAACACTATTCACATAGTTTTCATACTTCAAGGAATTTAGAGTTTTTTACTGAAAAAGAAAAATAACTGTCCTTCTTATGTCGCATCCACAACGTGTGGAAATTATTTTTGAAAAAAAATTAATAAAATGCAGGGCACCTTATAGATTTATAATATTGTATACGTAAATGGCCATCGTTAAATCCATACAAATTTGACCACTGCTTTAAATTATTTTAAATTAACGATTAATTTAGTTTGTGTAAATAAGTCGTTAATTTAAAATATTTTGCAACTTTGAATTTTTCGTATAGTGTGAGTTACAATCGGCACCAAACTTTCCACCTATATATTTAAAATATTTTGGACAAAAGTTTATAGAATTAAAAAATAAGGTCTAAAAAATTTAATCAATACACTTAGAGCGAAACAGGTATAATATTGAACCATTTGCAATATTTTGAAACATAATGTATATTAAGGTGGCTGCAACCTTAATAAGGTGTGAATCGTGCCATGTCTTCGTTTTTCGTACCATGTTTACAATGTCAAAGTATAAATATAGAATTGTGTAATTAAATTTAAAAGGATTTAATTTTTACTATACTATGTTTCAACTTCAGAATCGTAGCAATTTTGTACATTTATTGAATTTGAATCACTTAAAGCCTTCTAAACATAACCGCTATAGATATTAAATATGTAGAAAATAAGTTTATAATAAATTCAACAAATTTAGAAATATTTGTGTCCCGAAACGATGTTTTTGCTACGTTTTGACAGATTAAAAACTGTTTTATCCGTACTTTTAACGTCTTTCAACACAATCTTTCTGATCTTAAACTGTGACAAAGCATACTTTTTTACTCCAAAAAAAATATCTGTTATTGATATTTTCCAAGTCATGATCTGCCCCATTGTCTATATTTTATGCAATCGAGCGATTACGTGTTCTAAAATTGACTTTCTTTAGCAAGTTTTCTCTGACAATTAATAAGAACGTATGAACATCTGTAATGATAAAAACAAACAATTCAAATAATAATTTTATCTCAAATGTAAAATAAAATTCTGTCCTATGACTAAATCATCCACAAAGCTGAAAATTATAAATATTTATTTTTAAATAGATAAACATTTTCAAAAGTGGCAACACTTTTGGAACACAAGCATGGTGATTTATTAATTTAAATTTGTTGTTCTAATTAAATTCCTATCTGCTCTTGGGCTATAATATTTATGACTTGATGAGAACACAAATAGTTTCGATTTGACATCCACATGTCCTTTACTCATGTCATCCATTTGTCTCAATAAAGGTCATGTTTATGATTCATGAACCACATGAATATAGATCATTATGTTATTAGTATTATAAATATACCCTTATATTAATATGGGAGCAGTAAGAATGCGCTAATAAAGGAAAATATCTTTACCTTCGAAACTCAGATATTCTCGAATATCAACATACGCTTGTTCCTATTCAATTGCATGTTAAGAAACAGAAATAAAAAAATAAAATAAAATACGAACTTTTAAGCTTAACTAAAGTTTCTAAAATTTCAGTACTTTTTTCAAAATATTTTCGAAAAAGATTTTTTTTTTATGAAAATTGTAGGTTTTAAATGTTTTTAAATTCGCGAAATCATTTTTAAAGAGCATAATATTAAATTAAATAATATTTGCATCAGTTCGCGCTGATCCATAGTATCCAGAAATAAAACTTAAAATGGTTTAATTTGCACGATAATGTGATTCAAATTGACACTCTATTAATCAGCAAATTTGAGATATATTATTAATTAAAAATATTTTTGCAGTAATTACACTGGATATTGCATATATGGAAATCAAGCATTTAGTAGTGAATTCGTCAAAAAAATTTATCAGTGTTTTCTGAGATAAAAAGTTTTAGTGTTGTGCCATAATATCAGTACTTCAAACCTTAATGTTGTGTAAGGTTACTACGCGTTTAATAAAATGTAAATTTAACAACTTTTTCTTTGAAGCTTAGCGAATATCATAATAACAAGTTTAAAATGTTTTAGTTCGCAAGATGGCATGGTTCAACTTGGATCTTAAGGTTTCACCAATTTTATATGACATGGTGGTTAAACGAGTTTGAAAAATTCTGATGAGGTAGTACAAGGATGATAATAAATATTTGGGAATAATGTTCATAGAGCTCAGTAATAAATCCGATAATCTTTTTATCAGCACACTCTGAGATCAGTCTAATACTGTACCATAAAGGCCGTGATAGCCTGGTCGGTAGGATGCTGGGCCCATGTCCAAGAGTTCGTGGGTTCGATCCCTGTCGGCCGAAGACTCCCTGTGTAGTAAATGGTGACTGATGCAAGTTAAATCTGTCTAGTCGTGAAATCCTCCATGTTCCCATAACAAATCAATCATCTGGGGGTATTGATCCAGGAGTTTCCATGTCTTCTGGATTGGTTCAAAATCACAAGGGTACGGAGTTGAACATTAGCAGTCGTAAACCCGAAAATTGAGTCGACTGTTCAACGACGGATATAAAATTAAAATAAAAAATATTGACCATGAGCCGTGGTGGCTCAGGGGATAGAGCGCTCGGCTCAAAATGTGGTTAATTGAGTTCGAATCTGGGCGATGGTTGGTTAATTCCGATCCTGCACCCAGCTCACCCCGACCACAGTTCTGAAGTAAAATATCCCCAGTGGTAGACGGATTATGGGTTAGAGTTCTGTAAGATTGTGGGAGATTTTTGATCAAATGCGGATTAGTTTCATCAAAAAGTCCTCCGTGAAAGCAAATTCCTCCCAATACTTGATCCAGGAGTTTCCTTGTCTTCTGGATTTGGTTCAAAATTACAATTCTACGGAGTTAAACATTAGTAGTCGTAAACCCAAAACATTGGGTCTGCTGTTCGAAGACAGGTAAATAAAAATTCCCATGCCATTGGACTTTTCAACTTTACCTTTGTACGCAGCAAACTTGGTACAGTGTAAAATTTAAGTGTTCTCCTTAAAGTTGACCTTAGTACCATGTAATCAAGTTTAAAATGGCTTGATTTGAAGAATAACATGGTTCAACTTGGTACTATCTTAAATTTTCACCAAATTTGTATGATATGATGGTTAAACGAGTTTAGAAATTTCTAATAATGTAGTTGAAGGCTAATATTAAAGATTTGGAAATCACGTTTACAGAGCTGATTAATAAATTCGATAATTTTTTTATCAGCACATTCTGTGTGAGATCAATATTGAACCATAATATTGGCACTTTCAACCTTATTTTTGTGTGCTGCTAACCTTGTTGGAGTGTAAATTTTAACCCTGTTCTTTTTAAAGTTGACCTTATTGCCATGTAACCAAATTTGAAAAGATTTGATTTGAACGATAATATTGTTCAGCTTGATACTGTCTTAAAATCTAAAAGTAGCTAAAAATTCGTTTAATATTGCGGTTGAATGAACTAAAAATATTTTTGAAACGAACAGTGCGCTAAGTAAGGATCTACCTGAATAACTTTTAATCTAACGATCTGATTTTTATGTTCTAGTACTTAATCTTAATGGTTTTGGGGGGTTGACATCAAATATGCTAATTAATTGGTGCAGGTGATATTTTAAGCTACGAAATCAGTGAAAAAGACGGACTTTTTTCACGGATTTGGATTTTTGACCCTTTAAATACTTGGGGTAGCTGCAATCATCAAATGTGGCCCCCATAAAT